AAAATCGGCGGGTGGATAGTGGTGCGGCGAGGCCCCTGTCTCTTATACACATCCAGACTGTTGAGGGTTCAGCCTCCTGATGAGTCGGTGAAACTCCGACGAAACAGTTCGTCACAGCCCCTCGTTTGTTGTCCTCTTCTCTCTCTCTGCCGACTGTTTACCGGGCAGTTCTGTTTGTGACGATATATATATGTATATATTGTCACACTGCGTATATATATCGTCATATGCACCTATAAAACCTGGATCAGCAAACGCGACGTAAGAGGAAAGAGAAAATAGAATTAATTACATTACAGAATAATAAGAAAAAAGGATACGCATGGGAAACGAACCACTAGAATAAGAAGAGAGGAGGTTGGGCCAGCCAATGGAGAGGAGGAAAATGTGAAAACGATATTTGAGGGGAGATATTATCCATTCGTGCGCAAGCACAAACAACATATTTAAATGATATTTTATAATAACAAAATTGCAACGGCAGATGAGCGCACAAACGAGGGACGTCTCCTGCTCCGATCGGGATCGGGATTTACACCTGCCGTGTCGATTCAAAGACGCCCATTGATCATTAGTATTACAGGAATTTACTATTTTATCTTTTTTTCGTTTTTTACCTGATTATTTTATTACCTATGTAAGTATGGAGTTCTTCTTCCCAGATAAGCCACAGAGAACAGTTATGTAACTACGCTAATGCCCAAATTACCTGTGAATGTACAGGAACAACCAACAAAAAAAAAAAAAAAAAAAAAAAAACTTACCCTTACAGTCACTCTCGCCGTAGGCTCTATCCGACCGCTTGTCGGACGTCCGGTCGTTGCTACTGACGCATCCGGTCGCACCGCTCCTCCTGGAACACCAGCCTCCAGATCCCGACCCCTCGACCGCCTCTGCCTCGCAGCAGTATTCCCCATTCTCTCTCTCTCTCTCTCTCTCTCTCTCTCTCTCTCTCTCTCTCTCTCTCTCTCTCTCTCTCTCTCTCTCTCTCTCTCTGTGTGTGTGTGTGTGTGTGTGAGTGTGTGTCTCGTTGATCTCAATGCAAGCACGATGGCTGCTGCGGGTTACACGAATCGGCGCGCAGCGTAACGGTTCAGCAGGTCGACAGCGGCGAGAGAACCCCACGTGTCAAGTCCTCAGAACGCCTGCCTACGTCAGTCCATTGCCCTCCAGCGGAACCCGATGCCATCCCTTGCCACGCGTCAAACACTCCACCCCCTTCTCCCTCCTTCTCTCCTTCCCCCCCTTCCCCCTATCCCGCTAATTCCCCCTTTTCCTCTCCTTCCCCCCTCTTCTCGGACCTACAGCAGCCTGCTGGCCCCTTTTACCCCCTTACCTCGTTATTTTTCCTTCTAAGTTGGCTTTCCCCTGAGGAGCATAATGCTGAAAACTTTTCACGTCCTTCGGTCGAGAACCGCAGAGCTTATCCTCAATGTCAATGTGAATAGATGCGTACGGGTAATCTCCGACTAATTAGGGCAAACAAAAACAACTATGTGTCATACCTCCCTCCCCCTACCTCCCCCTTCCCCCGCCCCGCCCTCTTTCTT